TCCCGCTTCCCCATGGCCCCCTCGCCCGGCGGTGATGTCCGGTGAAGGACCGGGTCGAGCTTTCCCTCAGAATTTGTGTTTATATAAGAATTATGCAAGGCTTTAGTGCTCCTGATTGGGGCTTCAAAAAATCTTTTTTTCAGTCTGGTCCTTGTTGCTTAGGGCACAGTGCATGTGCCCAGTGGGGTGGGGATTGCCATTGTTAGAGATTCCCCTCTCACTTTAGAGGTGTTTGACAGCAAGGATAATATAAATATTCCAGTTTCTGTGTTAAGTGGAAGAGATTGGGTTCCTATGAATGGGTGAGAGTGGATTGCTAATTGCACAACTCCTTTTTTCTTTCTCGTGCATTTGTGTACTTTTTCTATTAGCCTTCAAAGTCTTTGTAGCAGAGTACCACTTTTTAGTATATAGTCTAGAAAAGGAAAATTTGTACCTGGGCACGATGTTCTGTCACAACACAAATACAGGGATGGCAAACGCTGCTAGGTGGAGAAAGATTTGCCTTTAATCAGAGGGCAGTACCCACTTATGAAATGAATCCACTAAATTCTTGGACCTGATGTTTCAGGGTGTGGTTTTTACAAGCATGATGAGCCCTGTCCTTTCGGCTCTCAAGCTGAAAGTAACTGAGGGCAAACCTGCCTGAGAGCAACTGAAATGCAGTGAGCTTGAGTTCCTGCTTCTCCTCCCATTCCTACTCTTTCTCCTTGCTCATGTCTTTGCACTGTTGCCTACCGTTGCCTTCTCCAGCATTTTTCTTGGCCTCTGTGCTCCAAATGCTGGAGCAGCAGAAGCATGGCAACTTAAAAATAAGTATCCTGCAGTTTTAATATGTTAAAGAGGCAGCTACTAGCAACAAGGGAGGGGAAACCAGGCAGGAGGGGAGCAGGGAGAGTGATAGAGAAGCAGTTAGTCACCAGATGGGTTCAGCTGTCTGTGGAGCTGATTCCCCAGGGTGCAGTTTGCAATGAAAACCTGTCTGCAGAAGGTGAAGGACTTGTCTCCTAGGCTTACCTGTTCCTGGGCAACTCCTCTCCTGGCTACTTCTGGCATTCGTATGGCAAAGTAAGCTGATTCAACTTTTCAGCCTGGCCAGAAAAATTTCTCCTTGGAGGGGAGGAATTGTAGTTGTTTGCCATTTTTGTGATCTGAAGTGCCTGAGCTGTAGTAAGTGGTGGGAGTACACAGTTGGGAGGCAGGGGACTTCTGACAGCAGCAACATGCTTCAGCTCAAGCTTTGCTGATCCTTGGTACTTCCCAGCATCTGCTTTTGCATTAGAATTTAGTAGTTGCCTAATCATATGAAAGTAAGTCTTCAAACTGTCAGTGTCTGTTCTTTGTATTGGAAATAAGAAAGGGGTTTTTTTTTTTGGTTTCTTCAAAAGCCACCTCAGGAGCTCACAGCACATGATACAGTCCTGCTTATTGTCCAAACATTTCACCTCTACTAGTTAATACTGCCATTATGATAAAGTTGTTCTTTATCTAAGAGGAGATCTTGATGAATGGTTTGTCTGCTACCTGAGGCTTTCCTAATAGTTGCCAGGAGGATTTAGAAGACCATAGTGATATTCTTTCATCTGTATCTTGACAAGGCAGCTTGCTGCAGGAGGTGCCTGCACTGTCTGCGGGCTATTCCTGAGTAATCCTGTTCCGTTTATGTTTGGTACGTTTTCTTTCAGCCAAATGGAGAAGTAAAATTAGCACTTGTAGTTTGAAAGGAAGGTTATGTTCTACAAACGGTGATGCTGGCTTAGGGAAGATTCCTTAGCTCATCTGTTCCCTTTCTGTTACTCTGCTGCTTTCTGCTGTTGTCTTTTTCTTTATTACTTGATTGTTTATCACATCTCACCTTTTAAGTGTGTGTATGCGTATTTTATGTTTTCATATGTATCTGTCCAGTTTTGTTGCAGTAGTGCTTTTCAACAGCTGTAAACCCCGGTATATTCAAGCTCTAAGACATATTGCAAGCTAGGCATGTTTTCCTTTTTGTTACGAAGAAAAAGCTTAAAATAATTCTATCAGATGCCTTAGAATCTTGTAGTGATTATTTATGAAAAATGGTGAATTTTCTTTCTCGCTTCAGCATTTGTTAAACTTTATGTCAGAGCACTGGATTACCTCAAGAAGTGCTTTGTGATACTCAGCTGAAATGTCTTTTTGGATAGAAACGTATCGTTTTCATCATATTATTGCTAGGTAGTGATGTTACGGAGAAAGTGCAGAAACTAAGTAGTCTCTCTACAGTAGAACTGGCAAGGTTGTAGCAGCAGTGAACACTAATCGCATTTGTTAAGGTAGTGCATCTCTCCCCTCACAGTTTTTAAAAACTCAAATCACTTCCCTTAATGGATTAAAAGTGCAGTTCGGTGAGGAGTTGACAAGGGACAGCTTGAGGAGGCAGCACCTTACATCTGAGGGACAGCAGTGACTGTGCAGGTACAGGGAACGGGGATCAGAAACTCAAGTTGGTTTTGTCTCTGTTCTCCTCATCTTTGGGCGGGTCTGCTAATCTCATAGTGATCCATTCGCTGGGCATCACTGAGAAGAGTTTGACTGCCCACCCCATCAGGTATTTATACAAATTAGTAAGACTTCCCTGGAGTCTTCTCAAAGCTAAACCTCTCCTCGTATGTTGGGTGCTTCAGTCTCTTAATCATCTTTGTGGTCAATTGAAGATGTTTTTTATTAGAAAAAAGCATATCCATTCTAATAATATATAGATTATTTCTAGTATTACTGTACAACATGTATGAAGGTGGCAAATATTGTACTAACTTGAATAATGCAGAAAATGAAAGGTGCAAAGAAAACCCTGTGTCTTTTCCATAGTACCTGACGTTTTCATTACAGAAAACAATTATCTTCACTGAAATTTATTGGGACAATATACGCTTTTGAAATACTAAAATTCTTAGCTGTGCCTGAATGAAGTAAGACAAAGATGCATAAAAGCTGAGAGTTGGATGAGGGCTTTTTAGAGATCAGGCAGTTAATTAAAGAATGCTTCTTAAGCATTTGAATTTATTGTGTAGATATAAAAATTGTGGTATAGTTTTATGATGTAGACAGCCCGCCATTTCTCTTGACTGATCTGTTTCTGCTATCAAACTTGGCTTGCATGCTTGTCCTGAAAGGCTAGATTTTTTTAAAATCAAAATTTATACTTCTGTCAAGTGCAAGTTGGGAGTTTAATCTGAGGATTGTTGTATAAATGAATAAAACTTGTGGAAGCAGGAGGACAGTTAAACTGTTTCTGAGTATTAGGGTCCTTTTCTTCATTGCTAGTCTCTCTGTTCCAGAGCTGCCAGACTGGAGTAACTCAATGGACAGCAGCATGCAGTGGATTATTGCAGAAGACTGCAGTCCAAGGCCAGTGTAGACGGATGCTCTATGGTATTTTCCAGGTAGGATATCAGAGTATGTTAAAGTGTGTAAAAAAGGGAATAAGTTTAAATTAGTAAGAACAATTAATGTTTTTTAAATAAAGAGGCTTCTAAAAGTGGTATCTTCACTGTCTGTGTATTGCTGAAACATCAAGCAACTTAAAAGCTTTCTGCTGCTAAAAGGGTGAGCTCCCACTCTCTATTACAGAGTTGTCTTCATTCCAGCTATGTAGTCTTTTCATGGTTCCCAAATGATCTGTCACGAGTAGATTAAATGCCGAAGTCTAAATGTAGGTGTCATTTTTCCAAAGCAGCTATTACAAGCTAGTCACGATTGCATGTAATTTCCAGCACTTTATTTTATAGAACATCTCTACTGTACAGTAGCCTTGGACTTTCTAGTACTGATGGTATGTTTACCTAGCACAGTGCACATTAAGTAGTGTTGTTTCAGTGGAAAGCACTGCTTTGCAGTTTTGCTTCCAGTTCTGTAGTAGAATGCATGGTGTCGGATTGTGTCTATCCTTAGTGAATTAACTAGAACATCATGTAATAGCAGTTAATAATAAAGAGGTGAAAAATGGGACTAGATGCAGGCTATCTGAGCGGAATTAGAGTGTATCTCTTGGTGTTTCCTTCTTGCGTACAATGAAATGTCTTTGTCCTCCTGTGTATTACAACTTGTATCATAGAGCTGTGACTTACAGAATTAGGTACTTACCTGTAAGATCTTTGGCTTGGATGTCTTTTCTCAGATAAGACCTTCCAGTCCTGGGAAAATTGCCTGTGATTTTGTGACACAACAATACTGTTAAAGCACCAATCCATATCAAGTAGCATGCAATGTTGGGAGTAGAGAGGGAAGTGAGCACTTATGAAGTTGATTGATAACATTGGGCTTACTCTGAGCCACCAGTAGATTCACTGGACTTCTGGGGATGACTATTTTGAACAAACCAGCATATTTACTTTGAGTTTATTCATAAACAAGTTACTGCTAATTTGGATGTGCTGGAAGGCTATGATAGGTGTCCTGTTCAGTGTGCAGCATATTGCGTGGAGATCCCACTCACTCCTACTTGGTAGTTTTCTTTATTGTGCGGCAGCTCTGTAATACAGATCATGTGCTGTGAAGTTATAGTGGTTGTAATGATAGCTTTTACCCTGTAATTTGTTTTTCTCAAGTCCTGGTCACAAAGACAATTGAATGGACTATAAAGTTGTAGATAAAAATAGCATAAACTGTGTTTCTCTGCAAGGCCAGGGAAAAGAATTATTCTTTATTAAGAGACAAAACCCATAATTAGAAGTAGTGTGTGAGAAAATCAAAGCAGATAGCCTGTGGTTTTTGAGAGTGGAGTGTTCTGCCAGTCCATTCCATCAGAACATTTAGAGAACCCTAGAAGATATGTGGTGCGGATCATTAAGCATGGACAACCATTTTGTTTGTAACAGTTACGATAATAAGTTTGTGCTTTTTGTGATATGATGTTTTTCAGGATTAAACTGAACTGTAATTGATTTGGAAGCAAACTAAGGGTAATTGGTGTAAAGTTAAGTGTTTACTAGTCAATGGTCTCTTTATTTTGTTTCTTTTATTTTCTTTTATCGTTTTTACTAGAGATGCAAGGCGGGCCAGTTCCGACTGTCTAAATCCTCTCGTGGATTGATTCAAGCCAATGGAACCGTTACACAGCAAACCAGATCATTTTACAATACAAATAAGGTTAGAAGAGTTCGATGTTTTTATTGTTGGAGGGCATATCGTGCTAGGGATTATACAGATACAGGTAGCAAAATACTTTTCAAAACATGTAGGAGATGATTCAACTTTTATATAAAAGGTTTTAGTATAGTGTGAACAATGGGTCCAATAATTTGAGAAGTTCTCTCTATTCCTTTCCAGAAAATTAAGTGCTAGCATATGAAGGTGCAGTTACAGTTGGCTTATGTGGGTTGAATGCTCCAGTGATAAGGCTGAGGGCTTCTTTCCAATGAGGAAAGAAACTAAGTTAAGGAGAGTAGTTATTGGGGTGGGAGGACAGATGTTCCTTTCTTACCTTTAAAAAGGGAAACACAGAAGTTGTCTATACATATTAGAAGTGACAAGCCTGAATCTTTACCTTGGGAATAATGTGTTATGACAGTTCTGCTATCTGCTAAACACTGAAAATTGTCATGCAATCTACTAATAAAGACTAATTATTGTGTAATAATTTATTTACTGTTCTTCTGTACTATTTTATTAATTTGTGGTCTCTACCTCTCCTACATTTATTGTCTTTTGTTTTGGAATAGAAGTTTTCTGGAGCATGAATCATCTCCATAAGATTAGTTTAGCACTTAATCCAAGGGAGTCAGTGTCTCTCAACTAATAAATATTCTGATCCTGCTCTTGTTAATGCAATGTGAAGAAAATAGCAAAATGGAATGCATGCACAAGAAATGAGAGGACAGAAGGAAAAAGAAAGTTAGGGATTGATGGATAAAACTTGCATAAAAGCAACAGTCCCAGTTTGCTGTCTGCCTAATTATGTATTCTGCTAACACAGAGTTAGAGGTAGATACTAAGAGGTATCTTAAATTGGTTATTTTGACATGGATAGACAAAATGAAGGAAAACAAGGAGATGTGTGGAAGGAAAGACCCCCTGGCTGCTGTTTGCATCTAGTTCTTAACTAGAATTTTTCCTTTTTTTAGTCAATTTTTTTGTATTTTTCAGCTGGTGAGGTAAACCAAACGTTTTGCAGACGAAGAGATTGAAGTATGCAAAATGGCTTGCACAATTTACCATGGCAGAGCTAAGAACAGAATCCAGGCTCTCAAACATCGTACATAGCCCTAGTCCCTACGCCTGCCTGCACTGCCCCTCTTATACATGCACAAGCATCATTTGCAGACCACATCTGGGAGAGCAATGGATGACAAGATGGTAGACCTAACAAGGCAGGAGTGGCGTGAAGATCTTCAAGGCAGGGGTCAGACACTTGCTTTTGATGTATTGGAAAGGGCTAGGGGAGGGTTGCAAAGGTTGAAAGGTGAATCAGGAAACTTCCTGGTTAAAATAGCCTTGGTGTAAGAAGCCAGGCAGGATTTATGACCGGAGAGGAAGAAATTTACAGTAGTGTAGGTAAGGTTTAAGGTAGGTTTTTGGACTGCAACCTCATTATTTTGAATAGGGAGTACTTACTCATCTTTGGAATGTGAGCTTGACTATGCAATCCTGATAGGAAAGTGGTTTAGAATTAATGGTGAGCTCCAATTGTTTAATTTTTAAATTTGGTGTCAAAGTTCAGAGGATTGTTCACTTTGAGCACTGAATTTCAGGTATTGAGTGGGAAAGTCAGCCTGAAGTGGGCTTATTTCCCTATCACTGTCTTGGTGAGCTTGTTTTCAGTGAGTTATAAAACACATTTTTGAAGTTTCCTCTATATGTTTTCTAGATCTGGTTTTATCTATGCTTATAGAACTGTTTAATTGCATTTGGCTGCAATTCTAGCATTGGCAGGATGAAGCGCATACCTCTATCCATAGGTTGAACCAAACACTCACTGCTTAAATCCCCTCTCCATCTCCTGAGCTAATCCAGGCAGACTTGCAGAAGAATGAAGCAAGAATCGTGGCATTTCTTAGAAAAAGGCTGTTTTCCAGTCATTACTTTTTTGGTGATGAGCTAGCAACAGTTGTATCGAGATAATTTTGGCTTTTAATTTAACTTTCTCTGCATAATGAAAAATCCATACTGAGGGAGACTTTGTAATGCATTTGTAGATGAGGCATGTAGTAAAATTAATCTGCCTACATTCACTAGGGGTTTAGTATGATTTTAATTCCCATGGAGGAGATGAAAGTTGATTTAGTAAATTTGGTACGACTGGTTATTGGGACACAAGTTCTGCATTGAGCATATCCTATCATTGCCTGCCTGGATGGAGGCTTATGGAGTTATCTTAGGATGTAAGGTTAGGTGTCATTTTTAGTGTAGAGGAGAAGAGTATTGCATGGTATAATCTTGAAGAGAAAGTGCTAAAAATTGGTTTAGATATTTACATATGTGTCGGTAGACTGACTGGGTCCATCACATGTGGCAGAGGCTGGGAAAGTGCCTTTGCAGGCACTTTTGTTCTGGATGGTATAGGGGACTTGGTGAACAGGTTTAATAGCCAACATTCAAAGCAAGGATCTGAGTATTAGAGGTCCTGGACAGTGTTACGCTGTCTTAGTAGGTGACCAGTAGATACTAAAATGGCACTGAGCATGTTTCTTCATATTTACGCGAATACTAGGCATGATGGGGTTCAAGGCATTAATAGCCATCTATGGATAGTACACATGTGCAAGACATTTTATCTCAAATGCTAAAGGTTGTGTGTGGGTATACGTGGGGATTGATTATGTCTCGAAACTACAATTTTTGTCACCTTTAAAGTTAGTTTTTAATTAAGTATAGCAACTTGTGCAGGATATGTGTCTGTATTTTAATATGTATTTATTTATCATTCATGCCATTTCAAAAATTACTATACTAGTGCTAGAAAAGCTATAGAGAACACAGCCAGAATGATCAGGAATGTGGAAAGCCTTTAGTATGAGAAGAGGCTATTTTAGGACCCTTTTAAACAAAGGAGAGATAACTGAGTCATAAAGGATACCGAGAATGGGAATAGGAAATGGTTGTTTGCAACTTCTTATAGGAAAATTGGGAGCATCCAATGAAATGGCAAGGTTGGATTTAAAACAGGCATGTGGGAATTTTTTTTACATAACTAAACTGAAACTTGTGTACCACAGCCCTGTGTGTTATGGAGGTTAAATAGTTTCACACACTGGGGTGCTGAAGGTGCATCCAACTGTAGCTGTCAAATATGGGTGTGTGGATGCATTTTCTAGTGCAGGACTGACTGTCAAAAGCTGGGCAGGTACACCCCCGAAGGCTGCGGGGGGTGTGCCATGGTTCTCTGCTTTTGTGTCTCCTCCAAGGATCTGCTACTGGTTCTTGTTGGAGATTGCATCCTGTGTTTGTTCTGGCCATGTATGGCAGTCCTTATGTTGCTAAATTGTTTTCCTGTTCAGAAAATTCTTTTCTTACTATGTTCATGACTTAGGAGGAAGTGTTTAGGGTAAAATTCCAGGAACTTAAAGCAATTTAACATTTCTTTGGTTGGGGAACTTTCTCAGATTGTAATGGCTCTCAGCTGTATTCCTCAAGTATATATAGGAGATTCGTGTGCATTAGATTTTGGTTAGATGGATTAAAAGTAGAGTAATTTGTTGATAACAAAATGTTTGTAGTGCATACTTAATTAGTTAGAAATTATTTGCTGGAGTAAAAATGGTAATTTCTGATGGCTGATTGCTACTGCCAGGGTGCGTGTAGGTGAAATACCACAAAGATTTCTTATCAGTCCAATAGTGTTTAAGGTGTGTAGTTAATCTGGAAGAGAACGTTTATCTCATGTTTGCAGGTGCTGCAAATCACTGGAGACTACATACTTTCCTGATCTAGATTTTCTGCAAGTACCATTTAGATTAACTGTAAGGGAAATAACAGTCTGGGGGAGCTTTTCAGTAAGAACGGTAGGTTCGTGTAGCTTCATTAGGTTTAAGATGGAGCTGATTAAATTATATAATATATAATTACTCTAGAATATGATATACCTGTGAGAGTAAGAGAGGGAATGTGAAAGGTTAGCTTTATTTACTCTGTGATTTTTTTGCTCATTTTATCTGCAAAAGATTTAAGCCCAAGTAAAGACACACATATAGAAAGAATATGGAAATCTAGAATGGGAGTCATATTTTGGAAAGCAGGTTGCTGTACAAAGTATTTCAGTCTAAGCTTCCAATGGGATGCTTTTGTCAAAATGGTTATGCAGTGTATGCATTCGTAAACAGAAGAATATCACATAGTAAAAACTGTAATATTTTGCAGAGAAGACCTGAATATGTATTTGTTTTGTTGAACAAAGAAAGTAAACAAAAACCTAAAATTCTCTGTTAAACTTGTAGCTTTTCTAACTAAAATGATTTGCCAGATTTAATTGCAAGGACTGACATATGTGACGTTTCAATTTTACAGCATCTTTCTGCAAAAGATTCCGTGCAGCCATCTGAAGAGAAAGTGGGTGCTTTCACAAGGATAATAGAAGCAATGGGTTTCACAGGACCACTGAAGTATAGCAGATGGGTAAAGCATTCATTTAATAATTGTTTTGGTGGTTTGATACTTTCAGAGTTCTAAAAATCAGACACCCTCCCCCCCTTTTTTTTCTGATGGTAGGAGCAGTGCTTAATGGAAAAGTTCTAATTACTATCCATGTAAATTCCTGTTTTGTGATATGAAGAATAATAATCCATAGCTTGAAAATCCCTTGATCTATGCATTGCCATCACTGACATCAGTAGGAATATTGTATTTGGTTTGTAGTGTCTTAAACCTTCTTGAATTTCTTCAGATACTTTATTTTTCACTTCATTTGTGCACCAAAGAACGCAATAACAGCCTTACTATCTAAGTCAAATACCCGCATAGACCATCATCTTGTCTCTAATAATGACCAACTGCAGTTATCTAGAAATAATTTAATTACAGGAAAAACATATTATGATACTTGTCTAATGTGCACCTCCAGTCTACCACGGTTGTCTGTTTGAGGACTTCCTGCATGAAACTAGGCATTTTTCTGTATATCTGTTGATGGATTTTTCTTCTATAAATTTGTCCAGTTGCACTTTGAACTCTTGTGGCATCCATAACATTCAGTATCAGGGAGTTCCATAGCTTCAGTACCCACTGGGGGAAGAAGTGCAGTTGTTTTCAGTTGGTGCTTTTTAGTTTTGTACTTAAAAAAACCAAAGGGATTTATTCTTTCCTTGGAGTGTGTGTTCACATTCTCCCTTCCACTGATGATTTTATAGACTCATGTATTGCATAATATCTTAGTCTTTCTCTGGACTGAGGAGACTTAGTCTAACTTGTTTCTCTTATTCAGGCTCTTTCATGCGTTGATTTTTGTTGCCCTTCTCTGAAGCTCTTTCAGTGTTCTGTATTTCTATGACAGGAGGGTCTCCCAAACAGACAGTAGTGAGATGTATTATGATTGCTGTTTGAGTTGCTGTTCAGTAGAAGCTGACTACGGCAGAAACACAAATAGGTCCTCCTCTTTTGTGTTTTTTAAATAGTCCTTTCATAAAGCAATTGTTAACGTTGACTAAATGAGCGCAGTTCTCTAAGAGTCACCTTCAGTTCCTTATGCAGAAAGAAAAAGAGATGAAATTCATGATTTCTTTGCTCTGAACTAGGACACAGTATAAAGGAGTGAGAGGAAAAAGCAGCTTGAAGGAAGGGCTGAGTGCAACTGTGCAGGAGTTAAAATCTATAAGGTGCTTTGAATATCTGCAACGCAGAGTGACCTAATCTGAAACTGTTGCTGATTGCATCTCACTCCTCAGAAAGAAAATATAAAGAAAAGATAACTGACACTTAAGGGAGTTAGGTATTTTGGTTAAAATCAGTTGCTTTTAATCAGGTGATGCTAAACCTCGTGAGAGAGTAGTTTTTCTCCCACGTGCTTGTGTACATATTGTTGTAATAAAGATTCTTGTTAGCTCTAAGTGTTGATTCAGAGTTTTCCTTAATTGCTACTCTTTACTGCCTGCTTTTGGCTAGGGAACTTGCATTTGGAGAGAGTTATTTTGTGGTTAGGGCCCAAGAGACCTGAGTTCATTTTTGGCCTTGCCAGTGCTCTCTATGAGATCTTAGGGAAGTTTCTTAATATTTCTCTGCTTTTTTCCATTTTCTTCTCCCTTCCCCCACACCTCTGCTACACCCTAAAACTTCCATGATTAAATTTGACCAGTTTCTCCTGTGTTACCTGCCTTATTTAAGGGCTGGATTGCAGGGACTGTTCTTTACAATATGTTTTTAATGTCTGGTAATGCCTGCTCTGGCGCAGTGGCTTTCACTGTGGAGATCTCTACTTCCAGACCAGGAAGCGTTTCCTTTAAAAAGGAAACCTTCAGAATTCCAGTAAGCAGTGTAAATTATTTTAATGCAAGAAGTTTAGATTTTTAGTTTGGATTACTTGATTTTTGACAGAAGACTGAGATTACTGAATAAGAAAAATAATGGCTCCTGTATTCCCACCACAGGAGATCAGTTGTAACCTCCTTGTTTTTGTTTTGGCTGGAGGAGACACAAATAATTAGTTTGGCAATTTGAAGTGCCATTTGACAGGCATAGCACTCATCTCTGTAGTATAGTGAGTACTGAGATGATCCCTAGTATACATCCCTAAAAGAAAAAAAAAATTAAAAAACAAAAAGGAAAAAAATAAACCTAACGACCTAAACCCAATGCTGCTTCCTGGCTTAGGTAGGGCGAGTGGGCTCTGGAGTTTTCAGGTTTTTTTTATTTTTCTCCCCTTGATGTTAGTAACCAGGAATGGCTGACAGCTCTTCTCTTTAAGATCTTTGCTATCACTTATTGTGCTCTTCAAAGCTTCAGCATGTGTATCTTTGTTATAGATGATGCACTGAAGGTGTTTCTGGTGCAGTGGCAGACCAAGAACAAAATTAGAAGTGCCAAAGCACCTGAGTATACCTCATGTCCTTCATCATTTGGGATTCCTTTCTCACTTGTGAAGCTTACTTGGTCAATTTTCATTTTTGTAGGAAAAAAGGTGTTTTTAGGACATGTCTGGTATGTCACTTCTTTAATATTTAAAACTTGAATTATACAAAACACTTTGACTGGTATACATCAATTAAAGTTATTGGAGGAAACCAGGAATTGTGAATTGAGATCTTTGAAGTCTCTGTAAGGAAAGCCATTTCATTTATTTTTCTGTAATGACAGTATTGTATTAAACTAGAGTTGGAAGAGTATTCAAGAAGCCATTTAAGAATTTTTTTTGCCTCAGGGCAAGATTGATTATACTTGTGTTATTCCTGGGAGATAAAGTAGTTTAATGTGCTACTGAAAATCTCAAATGATTGTGATTCTCAAAAGAAGTCTTTTCAGAAAATGATAGTGTACGTATTTACCAAAAACAGTAGTGTTCACTCGCTGTCATGATGAATACTTTTAAGTATTGTCTTTTCTTTTTCTTTAGAAAATTAAGGTAGCAGCTTTGCGCATGTACACATGCTGTGTGGAGAAAACTGACTATGAGGAATTTTTTAACAGTAAGTAATGGACTTGGTGGTATTTGGACTACTGCCCTGGTGAGAGAAATTCTGATGAAAATTCATTAGATTGATTTATACCAATAAATATGACAGCAGAAAGACTTGTCATACCGTAACAGTGTGTGGTCAACTAGAAGCTGACTGTACTACAACGTTCCCTTAAACTCTGAAGTGGCAAGGGTTCAAGGGCAGACTGTGGGACTCTGGGACTGTTATGTTTTGCCTGCTGCAATGGAGAGCAAGCACAAGGGTGGGAATATCCTGGACTTTGAAGGATATTGCCTTTTTTGTTAACAGGAGTGGAATAAACGAAGAATCCAGGTAACTTTTCCATTTTTACTGTAGTCAGATGGTCTCTGTATCCTACCCTGTCCCATGACCAGTTGTAAGAAGGTCCAGTATAACTGGGATGCAGGTATGAGAACCATCCCCGTCCACTGATGGACAACTTTTTTTCTGATACAAAGTCAGTTAGATCACAGCGTCCTCTCTCTGTCTCTTGCTCATGGCTGTGGCAGGTTTGGCCAGAACTTAGAGACTTTCTACATTTTATTGACTGTAACAGCTTAAACCAGGACACATCTCTTGTCTGGGTAGAGAGTATGACTAGAACAGAGACAGAAGTCCCTCCTTTAAGTATATAGGATTAATATTGGCTTGAATTGGGATAGCTTTTCCATGTTGCACCCCGTTTTTTTTAGCTATTAGCTAAAAAAATCTGCTGCTGCTTTCATTAGTATCATGTCTGACTGGTCAATGGGGAAGATGTGTTTTTGAGACTTAGGTAAGCTTCAATAGTATTTTGTTCTTATGTGAATTATTTCCTATGTCAGTGTGATTTAGCTGGTAGTAAACCCATTGCCTGTATCTAGCCTCTCACCTGAATTCCTGATCTACCGAATGCTTTCTTATGGCTTTACAATGCACTGACACAGGTTGAGGCTGCTGCTGCCACCTCTTGAGAGTTCAGCTTGAAGAGACATCTTCGTCTGTTCATCTAGTGCAGAGCTTATTGAGGGTGGTTTGGTACATGGTGTTGCTGCTGCAAGATTTTCCAATGGTTTTCAGAAGGTTTTCCAAAACTGTGATGTGGTTTCAGCGGTTGCAGGAGTGAGCTAACTCTGTGAGCAGTAGGATTCATCATTAGTGATCAAAAAATTAGAACCTCATTTTTCCTGTGCACGTACCTCTCCCCAGCTGTGTGCCCTCTCAGGCCTTCTTGGATAAATTCTCTTCTGTTTCTCGTATTTACCTCTCAAATAGAGGCTTTGCTATTTTTAACTGGTGTTTCACTATCTCTGCTTAACAGGTTAATTGTACAAAGATATATAAATGTTGCCATAGATTAAAATTTGAAGGAATTTCAAAACATGTCTGTGAAAAAGATACTAGCGCAGATTATCAGGCTCAGTGCTGAGTAAAATTACTTGTATTCTTGGTATTGTCTTACTGTTTTAAAGAGAAAATTCCCAGAGCTCCCTCTCACTTTAAACATAACACAAACAGGAGGCAGCCCTTCCTTCGAGTTTCACCATCTCTGAATTTACAGCCAGGGAAACCTGTATTTGCATTGTCTTGAGACCGTTGTTACATAAGGAACAAGCTAGTTTGTTTTGCTGAGACTGACAGAGTGCATGATGCACGTGTTGGTGTTATGAGAATGCCTGTGATGTTGGGGTCTATGATTGTGGTACCAAAGAAATCATTGCTTTCGTATAAAAAGAGATATAAGAAGTTTCTGTTACTTCTATCTACTTAGAGCTGCAGCTGTTTGGGCAATGAGCTCTGAAATTTAACAGGTGTGTGATCCATGTTTAAAAAGCAATTCCTCTAAAACACAGACTGTGTGGGGTGGGTAGGAACCTTTTAAATAGATTTTGCCAATGAAGAAGCTTTAGGCTGTGGTTCCATGGGCAGCTGAGTTGAAGTAGTGGCCAAAGGGAAAAGGCTCACTTAATCTTCCTCTGCATGTGTTCTGGACTGGACAATTATGTCCTCCAGTGAACTGTTTAGGTCACTGAAAGAAAATGGCCTAGTTTTTTACTGACTTCTTGTTTTACTGTGTTAAAGTGGCACATGGAAGGGTCTGATGGACAGCAGCAGTGGCATAAAGTAGGTGGTGAGGAGTACATGATTAAGAGAGGGGAACATGGCAAGAAGCAAGATATCCAACTTTCAGTTCAGTTCACCATGTCTTCATCAAACTAGGTTGGTCAGGAGCTGGTTTTTTTCTGTTCTGAATTGCTCCTTTTTCAAATAAAGATGGGCATCGCTTAAGCCAGAACTGCAGCTCACTCCCAAAAGAGCAGCCTGGGGGACTAGTAGGAACAGGAAGCAACTAACCCTTAACTCTTACCCTTGGTGATGCAGCAAGCACAGGTGTGCCTGGGACCATGCTGCTGTGGGTGCTGCACACCTGCAAGACGAATTGCACTGCGTAGGAACCCTGAGAGTAGTAATGGTGCTGCGCAGGACCCAGCTCAGGTCTGCCTGAGCCGAAGCTGACTGTATGTAGACCTGGTGGTGTAGTTCTGCTTTCCTGCCCCCAGCACTTCTGGCTCCAGTTGCATGGTGTTGAGTATCTAAGTGTACTGTATGGAGTCAGCTCTGGTCTCTGGAGAGCTTATTAGCTTTTTCTTTGCCGTTTGTGAGAGTTGTTAACCTACTGAGCTGGCCTTGGAAACCATACATCCATGCATGTGTAAAACTGTTTGTGGGCTCATTAACCCTGTGTGATCAGAATCAGTTCTTCATAGAGCCTTCTTCAGTGTTTCTGAACATGCTTTTGTGATGTGGTTATGTTGTGGCATGAGTAACAACTGCAGTGTGACCTTATGGAACTTGGTATGTGGATTTTGTCAGGTAGTTCTCTGACCGAGGTGACATAGAGTGTAAAGACTGGATACTATGGTATTGAGGGCTAGGACAATGATAGAATTTCATGTCTTATAGGCTATCTTGCTATCTCAGTGCATTTCTGCTGATAGCTAATGAAATTTCTGAGACTTCATGCTACGCAGCATGAGCCTTGTGAACTGCCTTTCTCTGTGTTACATCTTAGAACAGCAGTTCCCAAAATATGGACTATGGATATGCAAGTCATGAGGCCGCTGTGGTATATAAAGGAAGTGGTTTAATTGAGACTCTCTAGTATTGTACTGCAGTTGATTTTATTATACCTGCCATTCTGTTATCTCTTTGTTTTGTGATCGTCCGTGGAGAAAACTTTGGGAACTCTGCTTTAGAATCTACATCCCGAATGTCTGTACTGTGCTGCTTATACGGGAAGTGGAGCTGTTTTAGGACTTCAGCTGTTTCTTGTTTGAAGGAGAACAGAGAAGTAGTAGAGGGAATAGCAAGATTACTGGCACCAGGCTTTCTGTGCACAAAGCTTTTAGAGCTTGAGTAGTTCTAACAAAATGAAGGAGGTAGCCACCTTTGAGGAGAGTGTTTCATGCCTAACCTTATACTTGAAAGATCAGAAGCTTTTGGGATCAGTAGGTGATACTGAGAGCTGAGCTGAAGTTTGTCTGATGAACATGGAGTGTAGGGTTACCTTGAATTCATCTTGAACTGTTAATACTGTTAATTGCTCCACAGTCATGCAGCTGCAGTAGTAAAGAGCTGGCCCTATCAGAACAGCCTTTCCTATGGCTCCTAGTGGGGCTACCAAGTAGCTCAAAAGGGCTGGAGTTTACCTACAGGACTCTGGATTCTTCTGTCTCCCTTAGTCCATCCAATTCCTTGTAGGCACTTCCTGCAATCTGTCACACTCAGGGGAACACTGACACAGTGCAGCTGGTTTTTTTGCAGGATGTGGGGATATTACCCCATTGTGTTCTTCCTAAAATTGTAGTAGTGGCAGAGATGATCTATCATGAAAAAAAGTCCATGTTCAAGTTTTGTGTCCCTTACCTGATGAATTTTAAGTGCAGAATATGACTGGAGGAGGAGGGATGTCCTCATAATCCTGAGCGTTCTCTTATCATATGCAGACGTGAGCAGGATGTGTTCTGTGGGCAGAATAGATTTAATCCTCAGCTGATAATAATCCAAGTCATTTAATAAGTAGCTTTACCATCAGATGTTTTTTCTGTATAAAACTGTATACTGAAAGGAATAATTTTCTGTTTAATTACAGGATGGATCTTTCTCCTCAGTTAGTTTCCCAGAATAAGGTGTTCCAAAACTGCAGATTTTAGAATTGCATTCTTTTTAAAAACCTGGTATCTGAGGGCAAGCTTGTTGCTTTAAAGGAGCCATCCCTCCTTTAAATTTCCGATGTAGACAGTCCTAATATAGAAGTTAAAAAATGAATTATAAAAATAGAAGTGCAAGACTTGGAAAGTTAGAGAAAAAATTCTTCCCTCCTGGGTACTGAATAGGTCTTTAAAAACTTTCCGTGTTTCCAGTAGTAGAGGTGTGAGCTTTGCTTTCCACTGAAGAGTGATTTCTGTGGTGGGAGACAGATACATGGCAACTTCTACTTCAGAAACCTCTGTCTGTTGAACTAAGTGTTTTACTCTGAATCTTGCCTGTGGAACCTTCATTTAATGAAATGGTTTGGTTAATGCAAGCATTGTGTACTCTTGCCCTAGTTAGAGATGCTTTGGCATGCCTTTAGGTCAAAGTAGTCATTTCTAGGCACATGAACTGTTTCTAATAGGAATAGGAGAGCCAAAAGAGGAGAAGGATGAGAGAAACTTGTGTTTATTCTCTAAACATAAACTGTTAGTGTCTTTATACTGTCTTAGAGGTGGCATAGGTGATGTTATGGGCACTGTTGCTAAAGCTTGGCACCTCTTAGGCACTGATGGAGTCACCTCTCTGAGGAGGGAGGAATAATGATGATTTTCTTGATTCTTCTGGTGGTTGCCTGACCCTAGTCGGCATATAAAAAGAAGGAGACTGTGAAAAGTATTGCTTCATGATCCAGGTGAGTCTCTGTGGTAATACTTGAAAGCCAAGAAGTATAGGAGTCAGGAAGGAATATATTCAACACAGAAAAGATAAGGTTGACTTCCTTAGGGCATATCTGACGGAGAATCCATTTCTGAATACTCTCACCTTCTTACAGCTGGGTTTGAGCAATCCAGAAGACAAGACCAAGTGCTGGGTAGGCCAAGGTGACTGTGTCAGGTCCTTCTCATTAGGTACTCCTCTTAAAAACTTCTCCAGGAAATAGATGTAGAGGTGACTTCCTGGGAGGAAGGTTTAAGATTGACAGGAACTGAAGGACTTAATGTGCATATAACACATAGATCCATGCTTTTCAAGCTTGAGGAAGAGGAATATGGTTTCTGTGCCACATAGCCTAAATCTCCAGCCTCACATCTGAATGCCACACGCAGATCCATAGTATGAACAATCAGTCTCTGAGAAACCCAGTGGCTGTTGGAGTAGAGCTAAATCTGAAAACAGAAATTGTTTCTATGGTTGATTGGTGTTTTTAATCCTAATGTAGAATGGCTAGAGGCAAGGTACGCTCAGAGCGCAGTGGGTTGTACAGCCGTGAGTAAATCAGAACAGCGGAGTCGGAGCAAAGACGCAGCTAGCACGGTATTCTGTCCCTGGCAGGAGGCAACAGCACATGTTAAAAAAAAAAAAAAGAGTGTAAGAACAGAACAAAGCACCTCTTGATACTTCCCTGTTACTCTCTACTTCTTTTGGACTTCTGAGCTAGAAGCCACATGTTTGTCTAATTCTCCATTCTGGAATCCCCCCCCCGCCCCCATAAATGTTATCTAAGTGAGTTCTAAACACATGAAATCTTTTGGAATCTACAGTGTCCTGTGGCTGCATGTTCTAGAGCTTAAGCACAAGTGTGACAGTAAATGATGTTTACTTCTGATATGTATGTACTGTTTGGTGCCAGAAATTAAATTACTAAAGTACATTTAGATATAGTGAATTTCTGTTAGGTGCAAAATGTGATGATATTAATATTAATATTTAGTTTTGTTTCTGTGGTTTTTTTCCCCCCTTCCCATCAAGGATGCCAAATGCCTGATACTTTGAATTCATGGTTTCTAGTAGCCCAGCTTCATGTCTGGTAAGTGAAAAGTAAAATAGTAATATAACTATTTTCAGGAAATAGAGTGATATGTACCTTAATGTGAGAAAAAGTAGGCTCCATGGTTATTGATAATAGAGGTTATATTCAGTTTACTAATTACTGAATTGTAGCAATTTTCTACTAAAGAACAAAAAGTCTCATAGAGAAGTTAACATCTTTTACATCTCTGAATTCCTTAGTAGTGGAATGATCTTTGCCATGAGTTTTCTAAAAGCCTTGCTCAGTCTGTATGGAAAACTCTTACTTGGGTGTTTTAGGAAAAGTTTAAACTTATGTAAAAGTCATTTAAATTGGGAGAATTTGTGGTGATTGAAGTAGCTCCTCGTCAGAAGCATTTAACAAATTATAGCATTGGCATTTATTCTTGCACCTCTGAGACGTACATGCAGGTTGGGGAATGCCAGCTTGGCTACACGTAAAAATATTTGACACCTTAAACATTAAGTTTTTTCATTTGTGAAGATAGTAGCCAAAAAAATCAGGTTTTCATCTAGCATTACATACTTGTAAAGGTCAGAGGGATGCACAAGGGAGTACAGTAATTTTTGTTAAGTGCCAGATCTTTCAGGAAACTGAAGTCCATAGACTTATGTTCAGCTATCCAAAGGCTGAAAGGAAGTTTGTACTGAAATAGTTGCACTTAAGCATAGGCCCCTTATTTCCTTGCCTCCTTTTTTTTCCCCTTCCCTCCTTTTAATTTCCTGTCTCCTCAATATATTGAAAGATGGGGCAGCTTATTTCACTAAAGAATTAATAAATTAGCAGAACCATTGAAATCATAATCAGTTAATGAAATCAGTGGAATCAAGTAAGGAAGACCCTTGACATTTGCAATTTATTTATTTCTTACTGTTCCCTGTGGAAAAAAGGCTTAAAAAAATTAATTGATAAGCTAATCATATCAATATTTGGAAAACTACTGCAATAATTATTCAAAACCAAACTGTTTGTAAGTATCTGGGGAAAAACAAAGAGGGGTAACATGAATCTGCAAAGAACACACTTTTTTTCACATCATCTTGATTTTGCATTGACAGGAGAATGTACCCTTTGATACACAGCATCAAATTCAAGATACATAACCTTCTTTCATGACAGGCATAAAAATAAAGGGGACTATGATAGAGATGAAACGAGTATGGGATAGACACAAAAAATTCTAACATTAAAGCTACGTTGGAGAAGGCCAAGAGTTGCCACTCTGAGCATTGTTTTTCATAAGGAAGTCTGCACTTGAGACATTTAATGAGGGGAAATGAAGCACTTTTATGTTTAAGATATGGTGGACAGGTTGACAACAATATACTACACAAGCAGGAAGGAACCAAATCCCTCTACTTTGTACCACAGCAATGAAAATTTGAGTGTGGAGGTTAGCACTAAAGGTTAATTTTTCCAAGGTTTATGTGCCTGTCTCCTTCATGTTCCTGGCAGTTTGACCTAAGAAGCACTGTCATTCTGGACCACAAATGAGAGATCCAGTCTGATATTCCAGGATACAGAGAAACCCCTGATAGGCCTACTCACTACCTGGGTCGTTGGGAAATGCTGCAGGCTTTGCTTGTGATTAACTCAGTGACTAGGATCCTGCCATGACATAATTTTGCTTTCATAGTCAGTTTTATTGCTATGTTCTCTGTGATTCTCTTTCTTTAATCAGTTCGACCTCAGTAAAATGGGAACAGAACATTATTGATTCTGCTGGCTCTGACAAGGCCAAGGAGATCCTACCCCTGTCTGAAGGCTCCAATACTTCTGTCCTTCCTGCTGGACCTTTTGTCTCAAAGGCTAGAAATCTTCCTTATCTGGTGGCCAATGATCTGACCAGGTAGATTCTGATCACCATCTGTTAAAGCATTCCTGTTCCCCCTTGCAATGCAGTCTAGATTACTTTCTAGTGTACGTACTTCTCCCCTCTTCTTGAGAGTTTTAGTTGCAACTGATTTAGAGTGTCTTCTGGAGCCGGAGATGAGGATTTTTCGTAGTTTGGTAAACCCCACCTCCTTTCTTGCTGTTATCGTTGCCCATCATGTTCTAGTCAACTGTGTTTCTGTGCTTTTTGCATCCTACCTTTTGTAGACTTAAGGGGCTTGTCAGAGCATACGTTCTTGTGTTGCAGATTATGGTGCATCCTCTGAATCTCTGGCTTTTATTTTTTCTTGTCTGTGAATAGAGTTTTCCTATTTACCTCCAGTCAAAAAGAGGGCACATTCAGGCTCTCATGTTTAGCCTCTACTTTTGCTAACTTCTTTCAAGATAATGTTCCTTTAGATACACTCCAGTGCTTTCCAATGCAGTGCTAAAATTATACTTTAGAAAATCAACCTATCAGTATTCTTTCCTGAATGTCATGTTTTTATAGGCTGATTCTGTTACTTCACACCCGTGGTGTCAGGAGGACTCTTTCTGTATGTTTAGAAGTTCAGACCTTTTAGAAAATCTCAAGCTGTTCATCTGCCCTGATGGGTTTGCCTTTTCCTGTGCATTGGCAGTCTAAACGGAGTATTGGCTGTGGCCAGAGCTGTTATGAGTCTGCCAAAGAGATGACTTTGGTGACTGTACTAAGAAATGTCTTGGTGCAGGATGTATCATGTAGATACCTAGAGCTCCCTTCATATTTTCACCACACCAAGTATGGTGACATCTCTAAAGTATCTAGAATTAAAATAGAGTGGTGCTGCAATTCCTGTTCTGAAAGACTCTAAAGATCTGTTGCAAAAATTCCTCTGAGCATTGTTTTTCATAAGGAAGTCTGCACTTGAAAAAGTGTTGATCAGTCTGAGAGAGTCGAGAGGAAAACAAGAACCACCAATATGTAGAAGACAGTTCCTGCAGGAAAAGATTTCTCAGATTTGCATAGAGAAGACTGAGGACACCATACCTTTTTGAAATATGCTACTTCAGAAGAAAGGGAATAAGCTCTCTGTGTTTTGTGGTAGAGGGCAGGAAGAAAGGGGTTTAAATTACATCAGAGGAGTCTTGCTTGAGAGAAGTTTTAAGAACAAGTTTATCTGGAATGCCTTAGGCATTTAGTTGATCCTGCCTTAACATGAGGGAATGGGCTACATGGCCTGAGCCAAGGCACCAGAGGAGAGGCAGAGTGCACAGCCAGGCTCGGTTCTGTTAGCTAGTGCCCCAGCAAAGACCTGTGTATGGCTGTAAATACAGTAGTTCGTGAACTTGCCAGCCTGGGGCACAGGATAACATACAAACCTAATTAGGAAGAGTTCAGAATTCTGCTTGTTACCATTATTCATAGAAGTGTATGTCACAACATATAGCTGTTGACAAAGTCAATTCAGGAGCTTCCTTCTCCTGTCCCCCAAGCTACTGGCCATTCATGAATGGGTTAAGCAGAATAAAGCCTTCCAAAATTGCTATTGATACTTGTGTTGTTAAGCCAGAGTAATTTCTCTGAACAAGTATAACATAGCCTCAGAAATAGTTGCTCTGGAGCAACTGAAGAAGCAGGAGTGAGTGGCCAGGTGCAGGGGATAGTGGGAAGCTCTGAGCGGGCTTTGTCCGTAGAAATGTAATGCATCATCACACCTTGATTGCACGGCACTGAGCCACCTCACAACAGTCAACAGGGTGGTGTCGACTACCACTTCTGGTGTTTCAGCCAGTCTGTTGGCACTATGGGAATACTGACAGAAGCAGTTGTGGCTGAAGCTGTTGTGGGAAGCTGCTACATCTCATCGAGTCGAGTTATAGATACTCCTGTTCCATTTCAGGCATCCTTTCATATAATTTTCTTCTAACATAATCTCTGCATAGCTTAAATGTGACATAAATTATCCAACTCAACCAACGTCAGGTAGACGGCTTTCTAAAGATAGTTCGGAACAATATTGCTTTCATGGTTTGGTGAAGATGAGTCAGTATTTGACTAAACTACAGAACAGATTCTGTACTGAAACGATAAAATGTTTCACACTGTGTTGATCTAGTTAGAAGGTTTATAGTCTTTAAAGAGTCTGTGTCTTTTAAACCTCAGGTGGCAGGTGTAGTAACAAACTACCAAATTTTCAAATAAACTGCAAATTTCCATGATCTCACTTGTGGTGCTGCAGAACAGCCCTGTGACAGCACTATGCATCCAAACACAGAGCTGCCTTTTAGGCTTCGTGGGTAGCAGGTTTTACTCTGAACACCACTCCAGTCCTGCTCATCAGTGACCAATTGTTAGTTGTTGGTCTGTGCACTGCTCTCTCCTCCTGCTTCACCACTACTGAAGGCAGACTGGATAGGAACCAGTATTTATGCTCAGGAGGAGGTTTTCTTGCCAAGCCACTCTTCTTTTTTTTTTTTTTTTCCCCTAAGCTTGCGTATCCAGCAAGAGAAGTATAAAAATGCTTTTCTTAGCCCAAAATTAGTCTTTTAAACTGAGTCTTTTTCTCTTTGACTTGTTAAGAGTGGGTAAAAATTTGGGATACAGTAACTCTTACTAACTAACTTTTTCATACAGCTCAATTACATAAATGCACAAGAGGAACAAAGGTTTTGAAACTGGTGGAAGTAAGACACAAGTTTTAAGCTCTTTGTGCATTTGTTTTGTGGAAGGACTGGTAACTGGACAGCTGTTCTTTGAGTTCTGAACCACTGTTTTAGCAGAAAGCTTTGTCATCTTTCTGTGAGCAAAATGAGGATTCATTTCTTGATACTGTCTTAATTGCTATTTGTTTGCTGAGACAGTGGTGCTGCTGGGCAGATACCAAGTTGTCACTGCCACAATATAAACCTTGGGAATCCTTACACAGCTGTTTCCTGAGGCAGAAATTGCCACAGTCTTCCCAACATTCCCTTCGTTGACTGCTGCCCTTCCCCGTCTTTACCCACTTTCTACCCAGATTCTCTCAGTCACTCCACCCTTTGATTGTTGGTTTACTTGCCATGCCTCAGCCTCTCTCCACAGTCTTCTGACCTCATTCCACCTGGCTGATGTTGGAGCCCAGGCTGTCTCTTTTATGGCCAGTGTCATTTTCAGAAAGTTTCCGTCTAGAAATCAGATTCTGGTCCATGGGCTTTTCTTATTTCCATTTTGGTGACTCAGTTGAGTGACCCTTGTATGGGACTTAAATGTATGGTTCTAATCAGAAAGAAGAATATAGGACTAATGCAGTTTTTCTTACCTTCAGTTTGTTTTGTCTCTGTGACTCACATTGCTGGCTGTAAGTTTTGCTTCCTTTGCAGGTTAAAAAATATCTTTCCTTTACTAATCAGTAGACAAGATAGAATCCTTCATAAAGATTGACATCTGTCCTTTTACAAGTAGGCTCAACAGACAAGCTTCAAGTGTTTATGATTCTCCGTGTTGAGCTGTCATTCACAGATCACCAACTACTTTTAATGCCTGCAGGGAGGCACAAATCTTATGTCCACTGAAGAAATGAAGAGATAAAAATATCATCATTTTTACTTCTTAACTTGTGTGGCACATTCACTATTGTTAGTATGCAGCTGATTCAACGTGGACTCCAGCAGCTCTGCTCTGTTGTTTTTACAAGAGCTGTGAGAAGGATTTCCTGTGAGCAGTTTCCCACCTGTAGCATGTCTCTATGCAAAGCAGTGACTTCTTTCAGCTCCAGTGTTTGAGCATCTCATCGGCTACAGTAACTCAGTCTCTCCTGGATGGGTGCTTTCGACTTGTAACACAGGAGCAGAGCTGATTAGTGAGGTAGAGAAGGTGGGACTGATGATGGGACTGGTCTCTTAGCTTAGTGAGGGATTAGCCTGTATTTCAGTTCATGCCGTTTACAGATATTGTAGAAGAGGCAAAATAAAATTTTTGTTCTGATGATTTATTTTTTAGACAGAACAGCAGCAGTGAAGTTCAGGTGGCTTTAGTGCTTTAAAAAACAGTAAAACAACTCAACCTGGTATTCTCATTAAGATCCCACAATGCACTTACAAATTTGTGAGTTCTTCTAGCATGTACTGCATGTAGGGGTTTTGCCAAGTGGTTGGACATGTATCCAAAGACCCCTGTAGTTGAAATAATTTAGGACATTGCTAATGTGAATTTGGGTGAAGTCTGTAACTTGCTTACGCTTTCACAGCTTGGCTAGTTTGGACTCCGCAGCACTTTAGTGTACCAAGCCGAATTACAGCTGGCTTGTAGCCTAGGATTTGACAAGACATTTGTTCCTGCTCCAAAGGTTCATATGTTCTTAAGGCTGAGGAATTTAGGTTGCAGTGCTGTTTAACTAGATTACTGTACTGTCAGCCAGAATAGAGTCCACTGTCACTCTTCCATAGCTGGATTGGCCAAAATCCAGCAGATGCAGCTCTTGAATACAGAATAGAAATGTTTATGATAGGTAATTTTAAAAAAAAAATAATTAAAAAGCTTTGTGTGTTTTTTTTCCTGATCACAAAAGCACATACTCTAAGGAGAATCTTAAATGAGCTGAAATATATTTAATTTACTCTTTACATTTGAAGAAAAACTAGAAGCTATGAATTTGGTGTTTATGTTCTTGCAGGATGTGTCTGGTACGAATGAAGCAGGAGGGTCGCACAGGAAAATACATGTGTCGCTATATAGTTCACTGCATGTGGGAGGATGTTGAACAGCGTGGTAAGGTGATGGGGGTAAGTCATCTTTGGTTTTGATAATCTTGATGATTCACATCTTTCAGTGCTTTTGTAACTTTGTATATCTTAAAAGAATGCCTAAGAATCAACCTGTAGCTGCTTGTTTATTTCTTTGAGCTTAAGCTGGTATATGTAGTCCTTACCCTGACCGTTCATTCCAGCAGCTGTACTGCCTGTTGTATTGAACCACTGACCTTGTTTCTGAAACTGCACCATGGCCTGGATGAAGATACTGATTTGTCTGAAAGTAATTAATTTTCCACATGGTTTGCCATGTGTTTGCAGAAACGGATGCTGCTATAACAGAATGGGCATTTATGGATAGGAATAAGCAGCTGAGGTAGGGAGAAACATGACACGTGCCAAATGTACTTAACTGCAACTTAAGTAATTCCAGCAGAGCTTTGCGTTTTCTCTGTGTCTAGGGTGGTGAGTGAAAGGAAAGTTAAGGGACAAGGTTTTTATGGTAAGTTCCTGTACATGACTATAACTAGTCACTAGTTTATTTTTCATTTTGGATTCTTAGTATACCTAGTCTTTATAACAAAAGAAATGTTGTAAGGAGAGAGTAGCCCCGAGGATAGTTCATTTGCAAGTCTGAAGGAAGAACAAGGTTGGATCTTTTTGGCCTATTCAGAGGAAGGTTATGCTAGTTAATTGTAATGGTTGTTTCTGGCCTTAAAGTCTGTGAGTGCATTTCTCCAGCCTTGTGTTGGTGATAGTCTTCAGAGAAGGTGGTGCGGAAGCAGTAGAGGTAGGAGATAGTTTTCATAACCCCAATATTACAGTGGGGACAGGAGACCTGATACAGTTGAGGATGCCTATATTCAGGACATTTCTAGTGCGAAAGATCTCCTGTGTTGTGGAAAAAGAATTGCTCAATGACTAAATAGAGGTTTGTCTGTCATTAAGATAAATTAGACTGTTAGAGAAGTGACAGTTTTCATATAGCAATAACGGCATATTGTCAAGTCTTAGTTGTCAGCCGTATTTGGAGAGTCTGCTAGGGTATTCCTATTGGTCACAAACAAGGGAATTAACCAGTGAGTTAGGGTTTGGTATGCAATCCTATTAGTAATTCAGGAAGTTTCTCTCTGATCTTTTATTTTGTATGTGGTTTTAGAAAGTTTTGATTCTGGTGTAACTTCAGTTTTATTTCAGTTTATTTTTTCTTTTCAGTTTATTATTTTTTTTCCTAGTTGTTGGGAATTTCATAGCTTTACTATGTTACAGCTTGCTTTTAAAGACAAGTCATCCTCTTAATCTTCTTTTGGATTAAATCTAAATTCAGGCATCTTAGAATTTCTTGCTACATTAATGGGCTTATGTAAATTCCAATATGGGAATCTCCACTTAGCTGGTCAGATGCCATAAGGCAGTGTGAATGAACCTAGATAAATTAGATGGTAGTACCAGAGAAAAACATTGAATGAAATAGCTGATGCATTTTTGTCCTTATCTGGTGCCTTCCATGTCATACCACTGGTTAATTCTGCTTTCTGTAGGAACTGGAGACAGCTTAGATCTTTGTTCCAGCTGTGAATTTAAGGCTGCTTGCTCTTCATGAAAAACAAAAAAAACCCACAAAAAACAAAACCAAAACCAAAAAAACCCAAAACCTTCAAAAAAACCCCACCAAACCCCAACCAAACACCCCACTTCCCAAAGCCCAAATGGTGTAAGTTAGATGTATATCAAGATTTTTTTTTCAGTAAACTTTAAGAGAAAAAAAAATAGTGGTTACAGTCAGTTCTTTGTGAAGGGAAGCACAGGGTTTCCATTTCTGCAAACTGAACTATTCCATTGCTCCCCAAAATTCCCCAAAGTGTAAAAAAAACCCACCAGTGTCGTTACGTTTTCATCCAATCTGGAGCCTCAAATGTTAATACATGCATATTATAATGGTACGGTTGCTGTATGATGCAAATGTGTAGAGATCTTAAGTTGTCTGAACACCATTCATTCTCTGCCTTGTCAGGTTAGGCATCTTTTCAGTTTATCCCCGAATTTAAATTTCGCAATCTTTGTTTGTAATAAAGATCATGCAATGTAATAATGAGCATGCTTAGTTTGCAATAATATGATTCCTATAATATATTTTGGACTGTAACCTAGTGCTAACATAGCTTTTATGTGGCAATAGCTGATGCTTAAACAAAGTATGTACATATGTAAAGGCTTGATCTCAAAAACAGTTACATCTGCGTGTATATTTAATACAGTTTATCTGCACAGAGGCCCATTGATTTTAATGAGACTCCTTGTGAGAGAATGTGAACTCGAGGTGACAGATAACTAGACCAGGCACTAAGAGTGTGTAAGAAAGTGTAGTGAACTCTTCTAGATTGCAAACTTGGAAATTAGGACTGTTCTGTTTCCCGTAGTGTTTGTGAAGGTACAGGGCTCTCATAATCTTTTAGTGATTTTTTTTTTTTTCTTCTTCTTTCATCTTATAATTGTTCCTAATCTTTCAGTCATTATTTTGGCAAGATGAATTTTTAGTCTCTTCTGGTAGTATTTATTGTATGTTAGATTAAAATAATTTATGCGTTGATGTTTGAAGAGGTTAGCTGTTCCTTTGCTCCTTATCATTGCTTTATTTTCCTTCCTTGGTGCTAGTGATCCTAGCTTAATATACCACTTCACCCATGCCCCTGCATGGGCAGTTCCATTTTCTTCCATGCTTGTGCACTCTTGTTCACTTACTTTCCTCCCCTTCACATAGATGTACCCTGATTGAACTCTTTCACACATCTCAGCTTTAGCAATTGCAAGGATTTTTGAGTGATAAATAAGTAAAGGGCAGTTACCCTAGGTGTTACGTTCCACTTACTAATCTTGATGTAATTATCCCTATTGGTTCATTTAAAATGAAGCTGAGGAAAGGGTTTGTGAGCTGATTGAGGAACATGTGTAACATCTATTTATTTTCAAGTAATTTAGTCCTGCAATCAGTATATATTTTACCTCCAAAAGAAGATAGCTAAATATATCAAGATAAGAATAGTAGATAAAAAGAAGACGACATTAATGTTCCTCTGTTGATGCTTTCAGATTTCAGAACCTGAGCCTTTCTCAGAAGTAAGGTAAATGAAAAGAAACTTTACTGAATACTTTTAGGGCCCTAAGTTATCATCTGCATAGCTCCTACGAGGTTAGGAAATTCTATTCCCTGCTTTTTCTCTCATGCAGGGTATCAAAGGTCAATATTTAACTCCGATTGGTGCATTCCTGTATTGTGGTATAAGTGACAGAGCATCTGTATGAAATTGCTAGTTGGATGCAATTAGTTTAACTTGTTGATAGACAAAGGTGCAGTTCTTCAACTCGTTTCTGTATCTAGCAACAATTCCAACACTTTATGCAGAAAATGGATACTATATTCCTGAACTGATATTGATGGTTTATTAAAATATGCCATCTGCTCTTAAATATACAAGTTCATTGGAGCTGAAAGTGATAGAATGTAAGGCATTTTTGCTACTAATTTACATCAGCTCCAACTCCAAATGGAGTTTGTATTATTTCAAAACCTGGTTGTTAAAACTGCTGAGATCTAAATCTCAGCTACAAAGTTTTGGGACCTGTTAGCCTGAGCTCCTTCAGCACTCCTGAATGTCGGCAAGAGTCAGAAACCAAAACTTGACACAGCTGTAAAAACACACAGAGAGCCTGTGGCCTCAGCAAATTCTACTGGTGCAGGCATATTTCAGATATAAATTTTACTCTGCTGTCCCTAGTACTAATGAAGTCAGTTTCTTTTGGTGGGTTTGCAGCCAGGTGTGTCCAGTTCTGTGGCTAACCAGTGCTCTTTACTTAATTTTTCCACTAGTGACATTTCTATCAAACTTTAAAAACAAACAGAAAAATTGGCTTGATGCAATGGCCCAAAGTGTTAATAGTAACGTTAGGCTGGGTAAAAGACTTCCTTTCGATCCTACTTTGCCAGAGATCTCCACCTTGTGGCTCGCAGTGAATAGATTTATACTATGCAAACTGGCAGCTGCCTAATCAGTTTGTAAGGGGAATTCAGTCAGTACTAGAAATTGCTGCTATTTGTCTTCCTATCAGAGTTCTTTAGCAACCTGAATATTAACCTGACTGACCTGAGTATTGTGTTTTAGTAACTGTGTGTATAGAAAAGCAGTTGTTCTAAGTTTAAGTGTATTTCAATACCCTTAGATGAAGCTGTAGAGTTGATCAGAAGAACTTGTAGGTGCTGGAGTTCCCTGGAACAGGATTTCAGCTGATAATCAGACAATAGATATGAGGGTA